TGACACTGTGTGACACTGGCACTGTGTGACACTGGCACTGTGTGTGACACGGACACTGTGTAACACTGGCACTGTGTGACACAGACACTGTGGGACACGGACACTGTGTGACTGACACTGTGTGACACTGGCACTGTGTGACACTGGCACTGTGTGTGACACGGACACTGTGTGACACTGGCACTGTGTGACACAGACACTGTGGGACACAGACACTGTGTGACTGACACTGTGTGACACTGGCACTGTGTGACACTGGCACTGTGTGTGTCACTGACACTGTGTGTGACACTGACACTGTGTGTCACTGACACCGTGTGACACGGACACTGTGTGACACGGACACTGTGTGACACGGACACCGTGTGTCACTGGCACCGTGTGTGTCCCACCGGGGCTCAGATCTCCCCGGGTCCCTCCTGCAGCGGCTGCACCGGGGTGTGAGGATCAGAACACCCGAGGGAGGATGCGGGGATGCTCCAGAGGAGAGGCCGGAGCTGCTTTGGAGCAATCCCAGCGCTGGGAGCCGCTCACGGCTCTTGTGTGACCTCTGGTGTTGGCTCGGAGGGACTCTCAGCGTTCCCACCGTGGATCTCTCCCATTCCCCACCCACATTTGCATTTAGGAGCGATTACGTATTTTAAAAAATCCCAATACGCCGCGTAAACGCACCGGTCACAGTCACAGTGACAAATCCTATTTATTCCCTTTAAATGCAATATCAAGGATTCGTTTTTTGCCATCCAGACTTGCCATGGCTATGGCTGTGTCTTTATTCGGCTCCGGATTAATTTCTTTTAAGCAGCTGGGCAAGGGTGATAGAGGATTTAAAGCATCTCAAAGATTCCTAAGTTCTCACAGGTTCCATGAAAACTGGGAATGGGGTAAAAGGAGTTCAAAAGAAACAGCAAACCCAGCCCTAAGGCTGGGGCTGTGCCCGGCCTAGGGAACACCTCAGGACTTTCCCCGTTTTTTGTTTTTCTGGTTTTGTGGGGTTTTTTGTTTATTTGTTTGTTTTGTTTTTCGGTTTTTTTGGTTTTTTTTTTTAATCATGGATTTTCTGGGATAGTTATCCATTCTGGATAATAAATCCATACATGACCCCAGAAATGTTAAATCCACTAAATTTACCCAGAAGTCAAAGCAGGTGGGTTAAAACAAAAGCGCTAGGACCGCCAAAGAGGCAAAAACTCTGGAAAACTACTCCAAATAAACCCTTGGCTCCTCATAAAGATGTGTTTGGGATGTGCCTCCTGGGCTTGGGGTGGAGAGGAGATGGTTTATGTTAAATATTTACATATTAAAGTATATTTATGCTACTAACTATGCTGCATTAATAGGACCTCTTAAATTTTCTCTGAATATGTAAATGTGTACTAATAAATACCTCATTATATATGAAAATCCAGTCATATAAAGTAAATAAGAAATAAAACATCTCCAAAAAACATGTTTTATGTATCATCTGTTCTGTACTTTATATAAAAATGTAATAATAAAAAGGCTACTAAAAGCACACACAGGCAGTCAAGGAGGTCTTGTGTGTTTCTGCATTATAACAACTATATTTTGTACATAATAAATAACATATATGGCAAATATAATCTTTGTAGCAGTAAAATGTGGATAAAAAAAGCTCTAAATCCATGTTAACAAAGAAAATGCTGCTGAGTTGGCAGTGTGAAATATAATTATTAAATGCCTCTAGTTGTGTGCATGTAAAGATCAATGTGCACAAACACCTAGACAGGGTGAGTGTGTGTATTAGAAGAAACACATGCCATGTCCCATATAACATTTATTAATCTTCATCATAATAAAATCTACTTCATATATTTTTGAAAAAAAAATAAAAAATGTAAATCTAGCTTTTAAAACAATATGAAAATATGAATTTTAACCTTTAAATCACATCATTTTATACACGTGTCTCTGGGTGAAAATAAATCCCTTTTGTTTAAACCTGTGCTGAGTGTGTACATGGAAACCTCTGTGTGTACACAGGGGCTGAGCACGAGAGCCACAGGAGGCGTTTCTGGGTTATTAAAACACATCTTGGTGCACAACATATACTTTATATTTATACAACTGTTAATGACAATTTTTAGATGAATCTTCATGCAAAAATATTAGAAACCTTGTTAATTCTTTTCCATATGCTATATGGAAATAAAAATTAAATTTCTGTCTGACTAGACAGAAATTCTGAGAGGAAGGGGAGTGCACACGTGTGTGTATATATACGTGTGTGTGCATAATATAGAATGTGCAGTAAAATCAGACTTTTACAGTCATAAAATACATAATTTGAAATATAAAAATATTAACCTAGATTATTAAATTCTGCTAAGTATGCTGTATGAAAATATAACTGTTTATTTCAGTGTATACAACAGTATATGGACACACTACATATACATATTTACACATATATATGTAGAGTGTATATATACATATAGATCTATATATTTTTATGTATATAAACTCTCTCTCTATATATATACACACATATACACAGTTTATAGACATCCAGAGCTACATGGGCACACTGCTGAGTGTGGACATATATTAGGACATCTCTTATGCATAATTCAGACCTAACAATAAAATATTTTTTGTGTGTATTAAAAAGTTTTATTCAAGTAGTAAATTGTGGTAGCCTAAATGAGCTACAGTTATTAAACTTGTAAATATATAAAACATAGAGAGAAAGAGCTACAAGGGTGTGTGTGCCCATGCTGAGTTTGTGTATTGTAGCAATTATAGTTTCTGCATAACATATATGGCAAAACCATCCTTTATAACAATAAATATGTATTTTTTTAAAAGCTATAAAGGTTTATTAATAAAATAAGTGCTGTTAAATGTTCTCTATGAAAGTATAATTAGCCAGTGCATACTCTATGGATGCACAGAGATGAATGTGCTTGTGCAGGTGCATGTATATGTGTGGCTACTGGATCAAATACACTCTCTGTCTCATTAAAAACTTTTGTATTAATAAAGTTATTGATATATTTACAAAGATGTATGAAAGTAGGAAGCTAAAAGCAATTATTATAAACATGGCATATGAAAATGAAATTTTAATTTATTTATAAATTTATAGACACATATCTTTAATGTGTGTATTAAAATATATTAATTTATATTAGAGCTATATATTTAAAACTAATGAAAGCATGCACACAGAGGGGAGATTGTGTCAGTGTTTTATTAAAACATACATTTTGTGCACAATAGATACTGTGTATTTAAAATGCAGACTTTTATAGGTAGGTGTGCCTATATATCATGCTCTATACCCTGCTATAAATATACAAATACATATGTACACATTTTAATAACCTGTATACAGGAAGGCTTAGTCCTGAATTATAGTTTTTCTCTCTCAGGTTGTATCTTTATATAAACTAGATATCTAAAAGCCTGTAGTATGTATTATCTGTCATGTGGTCCATATAAAATATTAGCTATATAGAGAGTAAAATTAATAAATTATGTTGCATACTACAATAAAAAGTTCTCCTTGATATGCAGCATTTTTATGAATTTACTGTATGAATTTATAGTGAATTAACACATGATCACATCTCATAATATATAAAGTGTATAATGTATATATGGAAATGGTGCTTCCACTGTACCACTTTATTACTTTTATATATAAAATATTTTTGTTAAAATAGTAAACAGTACTAATTATGGTATAATTTGAATTAATCTCCTGTAAATGCACATTTGCTGTGGTTATACCCAACCCTGGTGGCAGCTGGGATCCATCCCCTGGTGGGACAGACCAGAGGATGGAGGAGATAAAATTCCCTCCCAAAAGCCCTGATACACCAAAACAAGCACACAGCTGAGAGAAGAAAAATTTAAAAGTTTATTAAACATTAAGAATAACAGACAAAAAAAAAAAAGATTTGGGCTGAACAGCATACAGGATGCAAACCATTTCTTGTCATACAGATAATTTGATCTATTTGTTAAACTTGTATTTAATTCTGTCTTGTGGTGTTGCCAGAAATACGATGGTTGATCACATATAAGTTTTAATATAATTTTCTTTTCTTCACATAAAAAAGTCAACAAAATAAAAATAAACTGCACATCTCTATTGTAAAATTACCTGCAAAAATAATTTTAAAGCAATAATTTGGGGGTATTACAAACCCACAGAGGCAAGATATTCAAATGAGAGGGGTCTGAACTGATCCCATCCCTGGTGCTGGCTCCGGCTCCTCCCCTGCATTCTGAATTTCTTGCTTTTGTGGATTCAAGTCAGAAATTATTTCCATGGTGCTTGGTTTAGTGACTTCACCCCCCCTCCTCTGCCACGGGCTTTCCACAGAGAGCCCCAAGGTGCTCGGATGCACAAATCCATCTCCAGTCCCACTGATTTCTAGAGGGCGTTCTTTTGTAAAAAGAAAAAATCCACTTCTAAGGTTCAGCAAAAAATGAAAGAGAAGACAAGCATTTTACCAATGCTTATAGTGTAATAGAGGTCAGTGAATTATTTAGATAAGCTATTAATTATTCTGCAAATATATATATTTCTATTTTTATAAAATTACAATTTCTTATACCTAAAAGCTCCTTCATGAGCAACGAAGCCATCAGAGGCATGATGAGCCCAGCTGAGCCGTCCTCGGGAACTGACAAATGAGCTGAACTTCCACTTATTTATTTTCATTGTTTTTTTCAGGGAGACAACCTGGATAGTGAACTTGGGGATTTTCCAAATTTTAAGCCCACACATTCTGCCTTTTTTTTTTTTTTTTTTTTTAATTTTTTCCCCAGGTGAGCTTTTCAGAGCAGCCAGAGTGCCCACGTCCCACGGGAAATGGGGAGAGCCCAAGCCCCACGGGCTCCTCAGAAATTCCCCATCCCAGAGGAGAGGCTGTGGCAGCTGTGACACTCCCAGGGCTGGGAGGGGACAATGAGGAGGCACCAAGGTGGCTCTGGGACAGCTGGGCAAGGCAGAGCCAGAACCCTGTGCTCCTGCCTCAATAAACCTGATATCCAGCCTTCAACCGCTTCCCCCCCCTTCCCTGCCCTAAGAAACAAAACAATTCTCTTTTTCCTTTCCCAAGCTGCACTTTACACAAAGTTTTGTGGTCACAACCCGCCCTGGCAGTGGCACCAGTGACCTCACCCTGCTCTTGGGGCAAAATTCCCCTTTGTGGGGGGGACCGGAGCCTGCTGCAGTTTGCTGTGCTGCTGCTGAGGGTGTGTTCACCTTCCCTTTCCAGAGGGAACACCAGGGGCATTCCCAAGGGGCTGCAGCAGAGACCCCACCTGTGCCAGACCCTCCTGACCCTGCAGGGCCTCCTGCCAACCTTCAGGGGATAACTCACTGCGCTTCAGAGCTTCTGCAGCACGTGGAAACTCCATTTGCTGCACAAATGGGCAAGCACTGCACCTTACAGGACACCGACAAGCCAGGTATGATTGTGGAAAAATACTGGAGAGATGCCATCCATGCAAGGGTGCTTTAATGCTGACCAAAATGCTGAGCTCTCTGCAGCCATCTCCTGAAGCATGAATCATGATTTAATGGAATGGACAACGTTTCTATTTGAAAATAAAGTCAGAACGCTTAGAAAACTGTGAGCAAGACGTAGCACCGTATTTTCCTCACGTTACTAACTGTGTGCAGTACACAGAGCTGTGTACAGGATCTGAGCTGTTTGTAACAAAAAAATTCAGCTGGAAACAGATTCTAGCAGCAGCAGCAGATTGGAAATTACGATGAGTGGTTTTGTGTTGTATATTATTTTTCTGCCGTTACAAAATGTTGTAATGTCCAATCAATAGTTGACTAAAATCCATGTTGTGCTTTGTCCCTGTTAAACAGTTTCTTTATGTGTTTCTGATGAAAAATAAAAAAGTCTCTCTTTTTCAGTAATATGGAAAATCCTGGAAAGCCATATTACTTCCATAAAAATTTAATTTAAAGCACAGAACATGCCAGCGTGCCAGGCTTAAAATTATGGATTAAAAAAAAAGAAGAAAACGACAACCAACAAACCCCTAAGCATTTCCTTTCTATACAATAATGGAGAATATATATCTTTGCTATATATTTTAAACATGGAATAGCTTTTTCTTTTTGCTATATATATGTCTTTCAAAATACATTGTCAGTATTTGTACTTGAAAAATACTGTACAAAACGAACATACTATAATTATTCTGTATAAACTTTATACATTTTATAATATCTATCCTTTTGGTCTAGAGTAAACACTTAGATTGATCGGATTAACCACAGTATATGACAACACCATCCCCCTCTGAAATACACCAGTGTCTCTTACATTCATTTTTCAGAAGTCCACTTTATATTAGAACATACATGTTCAAAAGCAGTTTAAAACAATGAAGTTCAGAACCATCAGTTCATGTCACACTCAAAACAACAATCACTAAGAAAAAATGGGCTTTGCAAACCAGTGACTTCTTCTAACTGAATAAAAGTGATTTTTTTTTTAAACAGCAAGATATAATCCACAGAAAATATATTACAAAACGTGGGAAAAAACCAACTGAATTTAGGTATTTATTCAACTTTTAATCACAAAATGGAGTAACTAACTGAAAACAGAAAAGCCCCTCTGATTTCAACATCAGATCTGATTTGACGCTATTTAATTTTGTTCTCATTTCCAACCAACGATCCTGCTCCTCACACGTGCGCTGCCCCACGGCAGGGACACAGCCAGCACAGCATGGGAACGTGTCCCAGCTCATGGGAACGTGTCTGGGACTTTTTGGAACTCCTTGTTAAAGACATGGAGGCTGCTGTTGGGCAGGGAACCACCGCACGTCCACGGGGAACATGCGGGCAGCATGCACGCAGGATTATTGCTTCAGGTACAGGCAGTGCAAGGAACACACTCTGTGCTCTACCAACAACTCCCACCTACCTACCTGGGGTCCGTGGAGAGAAAAGGAACCTTAGCAGCTACAGAGAAGCCATTATGGGATCTATCATGAGTAAAGCTAAACTCAGGCTAACAGCACTTTTTAAATCTGAAGACAATTATTACCAAAACTTAAAAATACAACGAAAGCGATCTATAAATTAATAGTTCTGCAGTGTAGTACTAAATTATTATTTGTGCACTTTATTAGCATGTTAAGTTTTCTGATTAGACAGACTTAAAACGATAGCTTGTTACTCTCGAAAAAAAACTGAGATCTACCTTTTTTTTCTTTTTTCTTTTTTTTTTTCTTTTTTTTTTTTTGTAATTTATGCCGGGATCTTTCCAAGTAAATCAGGAGGATGGAACTGATTACGAGAACATAAAACCCCTACTCTGAAGCAGCACTGAAGGAAAAAAAAAAAAAAAAATATATATATATATATAATAAAAAGCTTACTATGGCGGTTCTCAACAGTCCAGGTAAAAATGTGGCACCCTTTGAAGAGGGCTGATAAAAATGGGAAGTGCTGAGATGCGCACGCACACGCACAGCCACGCACATGCACACCCACAGACACAGACCTGGGCACACACGTGTGCACACACACACACGCAGGGACACGTACACGCAAACAAAAAGAAAAAAAAAAAAAACAACAAAAAAACCAACGTTAAGTCAGTTTTGTTTCTGCTTCTGGTAAAGTGCTGAAGACAGAAAGGTTGGTTTGGGTGCGGTGCTATCAAACAGGAAACACATTGTCCATCTAGTCAAATGCCAACCCGCAACAAAGAAAAAAAAAAAAAGGAAAAAAAGAAAAGAAAAAAGAAAAAAAAAACCCAAAACACCCCACCACCCCCAGCTGGGATTTACAGGGGGCCGTGCCGAGCTTCGTACTTGGCCAGGACGTTCTTGCACTTGCCCAGCTCTTTCCGCAGGTCGGCCACCTCCTGGCGCAGGGCCGAGTTCTCCTTCTCCAGGAAGGAGGCGCGGATGGCGATCTGGTTCTCCTTCAGCCGCCGCGCGTCCCGCGAGCGCTTCGCCGCCATGTTGTTCTTTCTGCGCCGGGCCCAGTATTTGTCATCCTGCTCGTGAGACACACAGAGAGGCAAGCAAAGGTGTTACACTTGGCTAGAGGCAGAGCTGCCCACCGGGAGCCGCTCCGGGCCGTGGCACGGCGGGGCCGGAGTCGCAGCTTTGTGTGGCACAATCCGCCCTGGCAGCGCGGGTGCCCTCACGTGCTTCTGTCAAAATGTTTACACTAACCCCCTCATCCTCCTGACAGGGAATTCCTCCCAGGAAAAGTGAGGCAATGTTCCGGAGGTACAATCCATCTCCCATCTAGGCTGACCCAGTTAGCACATCCACCTCCGTGTGCCGTGACTCACCCTCAACACTGGCTGCAGCAGCACTAAGTTACCTCTGGCCCTGCTCAGCGCTGCCAGCCAACACCTGGTCCACTCTCTGTGTTGCTATCACCCATTTCATCCACTGCTCTGCTCTTTTTTAATGTTCAAAGCACTCTACGGAGCCCCAAAATGTTCCTGTCTGCACCACTGTCACCACAAGAGGATTCCTTGGCACAGTGATCATGGCTGTTCTGGGACCAACCACAGAGATTAGTGCAATAGGCTTTGGCTGTGGAAAAAAAACATTGGACAGAAATAGGTCCACTACTCCCTGAGGTTTCATAAGCTAACACATTCCCAAAGTGTTATCCCTGAAGACTTGCCTCTGGATTACCTTACTGCATTGGTGTATCAAAGACTCGAAGTAAGGACTGAATTTCACCTGATTTTTCCACTCTTCCAATGAAGTGGCCTTCAGCAAAATGGCAGTTTTCATGTTGCTTCATAACCGAATTAAGTTCTAGAACTTTGGAACAACTCAGGAAATACAAAGCAGGTAGAATCTCTTGTGAAAAGTGAAATTCTGTCCCCTGCAGAGTATGAGTGATGCAGCCACTCAACCCTCAAACTCTGCCTGGCCAAGTCACAGAGTTCAAACTCCCTCTTTCTCCATCCTAACATGCTTCCATTTCCCCGTGCAGCTCCCAAGGACCAGCACAGGGCAGCAGACCCAGCTGCTCCTCTGCTGCACTGAGCAAACATCCACCACTCCTGGGTGCTTGCGGCCAGCCCAATCCTGCTGCTCTGCACCTTCTGCTGCTGCACAAGGCACAGCAGGAGCAAAACAACTGCTGGCAGGAGGGCTCTTGAACTGCTTTCCATCAGTTTGGCTCAACAAAGAGTGCAGGAATGCTGATCTGGAGCCAGCATTATCTCTAAATGGCTCTTCACCTGTACGTAGATGGGCCCCAGTAAAATCCTCCGAAAAAAACAAGCATGCAGCAAAAAGCTGTGACCCAAATCTTGTTTATAATTTCCCATCTCAATTCACTCCATAAAAATCAGCTTTAAGCAATTTATTAGTGTGCCACCTAGGCTTCATCCCTCTTTATTTTAACAAATTGCTATGGCAAATCCCTTAATCCAGGCCTGAAAGAGGTAAGGCTGGCATTTCCAAATCACATGCAGCCCAGAGACGATTGACTGCTCTAATCTGCTTACCCTCCCCCAAAACCCAGAGGCTCCACATGCCAGGGCAGGAGCAGCACTTGGGTCAAGCACTCTGAAAGGAGTCAAGGGCAAGTGATGGGATGATCCTGAGGGAATGAGAGACCCTGAGCTCCTGCTTCCCTCCTGGGCTGCACTGCTGGGCTCCACCTCTGGCCAACAGCTTGCTTTGATGAATAAGGGCACCTGGGAGACGAGACAAAGGGAGAAACTCCAGCCATTCCTGCAGCAAATACCTCTCCCTTGGGCACTGCACCCCAACAGGGCATCACAGGCAGCAGAACTTGCCCAGGTAAGCAACAAGGTGCAGGCAAAGCTTTGCAAAGGAAAGCTGAGTGACAGCAACCTGAACACGACTGCAATTGTGATTTCTGTGCTTTTAACTCACACCACAGCATGCTTAGGGATAAAAATAGCTTCTTTCCCTAATGCTATCAATCTGGTGCAAACACATGGCATCCCAGGCTCCCTGCACATGGCAGCCAGGGATTCCCACTGACTCCAACAGGCTCCCAGGCTGCGTCTCTTGGGGGCAGTAGCAACAGCAGAATGAAATTCTGCCCTGGCTGCCTCTGATAAGAGAGATCCTCTTGGAAAGCACATACCAGGAAAACAATTTTGCAAGTAATATTCAGAGTGTTTGATAACCTGGATCAGTTGATTAATTTTCTTGCTATCTTCATGCACTTTGCTCTTCACATCTCAGAAGCAGTGAGTGGCACAGACTCTTTCTTCTAAAATATTGATGTCATGTTGTATTTTACATATTGTATTAAAACACACCTCTCAGCAGAAAAATTCTGTTTTCTTCTGTTTTCCTACCACTTGTCTAGATTCTTTCACCTGGATTAGTGAATATATATTAGTGAAATAGCTTTTACTATAGTGCTCTCATTCATTATTAAACACAGAACTACAGCAACTTCCCAATAAGACACAATATACTTCAGTATGTCATCAGGGTCCTCCATTCTCCTTGAAGGATTCACAGCCTGTGCTGAATAGACAGAGGATGAAGAAAAAGGAAACATGAATAGAGACAGGATGAAGAAAAAGGAAACATGATCAGGCTGTTTCATAAGTGGGAAATATGGGACAAAGCAAGCTTGTCCAAGGTCAAGCAGGAAGTTTCTGGCATACAAAGGAAATGAATACTGAGCTCATGAATTTCAACTGTTGCATAACTAATAAGGGACATCCTCCCTTCGGTCTCATCCAGAACCCTGAACACTTTTATTCTACAAGCAAAGTCAGATTTACACGGAAAGATTTACCTTACATGACAAAACAGATTCATGCTCCAAATCTGTACCTCAGTGAGCAATGTCAGAGACCCTGCAGGAATCACCTCGTCACCAGCTCCCAATTACCTTCAGGTCATCTGGGATGAAGACTTTGCGAGCTTTCTTAATCATGGGCTGGGGTTTCAGCTCCTCCTCGGAGAACTTGCGCTTGCGAGGATCGAACATCTCCTGGCCAGGAATGCTGGACAGAGCAAGATCTGCAGGGTCAGGCTCGTAGCCCACAGGAACTTGGATCGTCTCAGGATCAATGGGGCTTGGTGTGTTCCGGTTTGCTGGCAAGATCTGACCTGCAGAAATACAGGACAAATACAGCTGGGTTAGGAAAATAAGTTAATTGTAGCAAAGGGTTTTAGAAGATCTCTACGTATTTTACTAGCAGTAATTCTTTCAGCTTTCCCTTCATATTGGGTATCTATGCTTACTGAATATTAGGTTGTCCATTCTGCAAGGTGCATATTCTGAGCCAGACGTGCTCATGGCCTTTATTTTCAGAATCTGTTCCTAACTCTGGTTGCTAATCTTGGATTCCAACGTAACATCACTGAATCCAGCACTGAGCTGCACTGGACTGCAGGCAGAAGATATATTGCTCCAACCTGAGCCACTTCATTAGGATCCCATCCTCAGGAACAGATCAGAAGTACTGTCATTCAGTTCAGATCTATCAGCACACTGTAACCCCTCCCAGTTATACCTCTGAGGGTATGTTTATTTTACAATCAAACAATGTACTGTACATGCCACGAATAGCATCTTATAAAAATGTACTTTTAGCTGTGCTGAAGCACTCCAAGGAGACAGCTATTTATACTTTATTAAATCCTACCAGGGATGTTCTAAAAGGCAGTGAAGGAAACCAGTGATATTGAAGGCTACAATGATTCCTTAAAGATGCTCTGCAGAAATTAAAAAGACACTTATCGATGTTGCATTTCTTTTTTATGGTATATAAAATCTAATACAAAGGAGCGTATCCCCAGAAAATGATTGATATACCTCCCATTTTTCTCTTTTTGATTTTAGATAAAGCCTTCAAGATCCTACAGCACCAATTCGGGCACCATTCCCACTAAAAATCCAATTTAAAATCTCAACCAAAGGCTCCAAAAATAGGATCCTGAAGTCAGCTGCCTAAACATGGACTATCCCCGGGGGCAGAATTTTCAGAAGTTTTCACATGCCTCAGAAGTAGAAGCCTCACAGACTTCAGAGGGAGGCCTTCTGATTGAAGCACATATTCTTTTATCATTTTGGCTATTTGCTAATTCACTTTGACTTTAGCAATATGACGGCTTTCATGATAACTACAAAAACATCCTGTGGCTGCGTAATGTTTCCTTACTTGTGCCCATGTCTGCAATATTTAGGGTGTAAAACAGTAAACATTACATGTCATTTCTAATTCCAAGGCCAACATTAACAATGTAGTTTTTATTTTAATAATATGGGGACTGCACGGAAAACGCACCGGGGGAATTGCACTGCGCAAGGGCTTGCTAAGGGAGAGCTTTTGTAACTCTTCTATTAGAGCTGATAAAATCAGCTTCCAGGAAAGGCTGGTGAGGGCCGGGGAGAGGAGAAAAGGAGGATCAAAGTTATCAAAATATAGATGGAGAGGAGAGGGAGCGCGAGGGAAGGATGCTGCTGCTCGCACGGTGCCGCTGCGGAGCGGCTGGGCTGGGACGCGGTGCTGCGAACGGCGCTGCGCTGTGCCCCGTTAATGCAGCCGGGAACCGCGGTGCCAGCCAGGGCTGCTCCCGGGGCTAGGAACGCGGCGTTTCCAGGTGTCACCCCGTTAATGCAGCCGGGAACCGCGGTGCCAGCCAGGGCTGCTCCCGGGGCTAGGAACGCGGCGTTTCCAGGTGTCACCCCGTTAATGCAGCCGGGAACCGCGGTGCCAGGGCTGCTCCCGGGGCTAGGAACGCGGCGTTTCCAGGTGTCACCCCGTTAATGCAGCCGGGAACCGGGGTGCCAGGGCTGCTCCCGGGGCTAGGAACGCGGCGTTTCCAGGTGTCACCCCGTTAATGCAGCCGGGAACCGCGGTGCCAGCCAGGGCTGCTCCCGGGGCTAGGAACGCGGCGTTTCCAGGTGTCACCCCGTTAATGCAGCCGGGAACCGCGGTGCCAGGGCTGCTCCCGGGGCTAGGAACGTGCCGTTTCCAGGTGTCACCCCGTTAATGCAGCCGGGAACCGGGGTGCCAGGGCTGCTGCCCGCTCTCGGGACCAGGAACGGGGCGCTGCGCTGTCCCCGTTAATGCAGCCGGGAACCGGGGTGCCAGGGCTGCCCCCGGGGCTAGGAACGTGCCGTTTCCAGCTATCACCCCGTTAATACAGCCGGGAACCGGCGGTGCCAGCGCTGCTCCCCGCTCCCGGGGCCAGTTCCAGCTATCACCCCGTTAATACAGCCGGGAACCGGCGGTGCCAGCGCTGCTCCCCGCTCTCGGGGCTCGGAACGCGGCGTTTCCAGCTGTCACCCCGTTAGCACAGCCGGGAAGCGGCAGCGGCCTTTCCCCGGCCCGCCCGCGCAGCGCTCCGGGATTACCGGGACAGCCGCGGGGAGGGAGGCTCGGCCCGCACGGCTCTGGCCCCGAGCGGCTTCCCCCACAAGCTTCATCCCTCCTGGAGACGGCGGAGCGCCGGTGTGAGTCACCTCCCCGCCCGCTGTCACCTCCCCGCCCGCTGTCACCTCCCGTCAAGGGACGCGCACCCGGCCGTGGGGCCGATCCATCGCTGATGGATGGAGGGGCTGCCAGGGGCTCCTTTGAAGGACGAAACACAGGAAAATTTGCTGCTCCGCAGCAGCCAGGTATTCCTTACTGCAGACAAATACATAGATGGATGCACCTAAAAATGGTGCACTTTCTGTAATACTGATAAAAATGAAGCAATACACGAGCTCTGAGTACTTTTATAATATTTCTGGTGAGCCTGCAGGGTGTTTCTAAAAGTAAAATGGATTGTGAAATCTGGCCCGGCTTTCTAGTTGTCCCACGTATTTAAATATTGCTGAAGTTCTTGATATGCAGGATCAGTTTGCATATTATCATTTATCCATAACGTGCCCTATTACACAATTACATGAGCTCTGCAGACACTGGCCTCAAGAAATTTTACAATATCACCCTAAAAACAGGGCAAAAATGCTCCTTTTAGACATGGGAAATCGAGGCATTGCATCTTGGCAACACAAGAGCAAAACAAAGAGCGATGCACCTCCACAGTGGTGTGGGAGAAGACACAGTCGAGGTCCTGCCTTGCTCCCTCCACGCACACATTTCCTCTCCCCTGCTTTAGGAAGCTCTCACAACTACAGACCTGGCCCTTCAGGTCCAAGATGTTCCAGTGCCAGTGAGAGGCTCGTTCAAAGGGAATGCTGTTCACCCAAGCCTGAACAAACCATGTGTCTGAACACTGTCATGAGGAGCCCCAAGAGTGCAGCCCTGTGAGATCTCCTACACCCACATGGCACACACACCTCTGCCAGTCTCTGTTCCGTCATGCTCCTGCAAACGATCAGCAATTCCGTCAAGAACAACACACTTAACAAGGGTACCTCAAGCCCCAGGCAGAAAAACCAGAAACGCTTTGTCCAGCATTTTACATTGGGCAACTCCTGGCACCCGGGACCTCTTATTCTATCAAGTTCTGCCAATAGTGCAAGCCAGGAACCTGTCTTCGTTAGTTTGCTGGCGAGGGGCCATGACATCTCTGCGGCGCTGGAACTTGTCACAATGCAAGGGGACAGCGTGGGCTGCGCTGGCCCCGGCTCCGCTGTGGCTGCGGGAGCGCAGAGCGCGGCCTCGCCTCACATCGCCCCCCGGGCTCCTCTCCCCGCCTGTGCGCGGCACTTTCGCTCTGCATCCTCCTGCCAAATTTGTTCGGGGTGTTATTTTTGTGCGCTGAATTCCTCGCAATCAGAGGTAGGTCAAATAAGCACAGCAATCTGAATGTCATGTGCCCAGCAGCCGACTAATCCTTGCATCAGCAAGTTTCCCAGCTGTCACAACAGCCACAAAAGGGCTGCTCGGAGGCTCTGATGCACAAGGAATCGGCCAAGGAGGAAACCCACGCTGCAAGGTAAGGCCCCTCAGTGCCCAGCACGGGAGCCAGATGCCTCTGCCAGGCTCTGCATTATTTAAACACTCTGTGCTCACAAACAGCGGCCAAATTTTCACAACAGTGAAGTGGCTGGACTGTTTAATGTGCTTAAGCTTTGTTCTCAATGGGGGATGATGACTGCCAAGTGTTTTGGAAAGAACTTAGCCCCTCTATTTAAGTTGCTGAAATGAGAACTCTTGAGCATTAAGCTCTTTTGGAAATCCAGCTGCAGAGCTCCACGGTGGTGGTGGTGGTGGAAGCGAGCCGGGAACAATTGTTAATGGAAACTTCCCCTCATACCACCCTAGTGATGTGTCTCAACCATGGCCTGGAGAGACCACAACTGTGTCAACACCGGCCTTTTGTCTGGAGCCTTTCCCACTTACAGAACTCCACTCAAGCAAGGAGGAGAATGCCAGGACAGACACAGCTCCAGGTGTCTCCTGGCAAAGGGACCAGCAGGTTTTGACAACCCCAGCAATTCTGCTGCCCTAACATCTTGGCCTTGCTAACGCTTTTGGTGTTTCTCTGGCAGATATTAGCATAGTGGAAAATTTTCCATAAAAAAGGACTTGAAAGAAAGTTTGCTCTTCTAATTCTTTCAGTCGTCCTCCTCCTCCTCCCAGCAGAGACTGCCAGTGAGAAGTCCAATGTAATGGCAATATTTTCAGTGTGATTCCTTTTACAGAGAGAAGTGGACTGAGGCCATTCCCTTGTGTCATCTAGGTGACCAGACTGCTGGTAAAAAAAAAACAGAAGCTTTAAATTCCTTGCAATAATTAAAATTCCCAGTTCAAAAGTATAGCAGCATTTTTGTATGCCTACAAAACCTCAAATGCTGATCTGGTATCATAGGGAGTTCAATCACCACATCCTGACTCTTAATTTCCCCTTTTTGAAACATCCCACCTACCAGCTGTGCCCAGGAGAGTGAGGACGGAAATAACCTCTTCAGCTGCACTACTGCTTGGCAGACTTCTTATCTGTGCTGCGAGAGATCCCTGGTAAATTATGTGGAACACAATTCTGAATCATTCAACTCCCATAGAAATGTGTCTGATTTTCAGAAAATCTCCCTTCTCACAGCCCTTCTACACTCCTCATCAGCTCAACAGCTGGCTGGAGAACAGCACCGAGAGGAAGAAAAGGGAGTGAAAATGTTCTAATCAAAATATTTTTCCCTATTTTTT